TATATATATATATATATATATATATGAACTTTAGTGTATGTATATATGTTATCTCGCAATCATAACCAAATATCAAAACCACCTGGCATTGGATATAAAAACTACAAAAACATAAGGGACAGTGGCGTCGTGGATATAGGAGTTGGTTTATACATGTGTTCTTGTCATCTAGTAGTCATGTGTTCAATCGTTGGATATGCTTCTAACGAGAGCGAGGGTAAGAAATATTTATTTTCCCCAAGTACATTTCGCGCGTTATGGATATTGTTATATCCGTGATATAAGAACACCGTATTTCACGGATCACTCTCCGGATTACTTCGGAAGTATGCTGGTCGAGCTCTCTACCTCCGGGCGGAGAGGATTCCCAGACGAGGCTATCTCGAAGGGCAGAGTCTCGTCTCGGCAGACAGCTACCCGAACCCGTTTTTACGGGGTCTACGGGGAATATTTGACCACGCCAACGGATTCGGATACCTCACAATAAAATTGGCCTTGTGCCGCATCCGACCGCGTGGGGTGATCAGTGAATATCTCACGGACAGGACGGAATAACTGAACGGAAAAACAATAATAAACATGCTTGGTTCTCGGAGAGGTATAATGCTACATCGGATACAAAATTATATATATATATATAGTGTCATCCACAAACAGACTGTTTCGCTGTATCACAGCTCATCAGTGTGGCTAGACGTCCGTTTTGCCTAGGATCGAAACCCAGCTGAATTGGCGCCAGTTGAAGATTCTACCACTAAGCCGTCAGCGCACGGCAAGGACGAAGGTGAATTTAAGCGTGTTTATTTTTAGATAAACACACAGTGACTGAAAGGTCTCAATTCACTTTACCGAAGAGTCATGCATTATATATAATAATGATAATAATAATAATAATAATAATGATAATAATAATAATAACGTATAAGTTGATCACGTCTGTACTGACGAACCGTACTTATTCCTTTCTCGAAACAAACAGCACTCTCCCGCTGGAACAGAAGGGATGCAGAAGAGGCTCATATGGCTGCAAGGATCAACTTCTGATAAATAAGATGATCCTGGAAAATTGCAGGAGACGACGCAGGAACCTAAGTGCAGCGTGGATTGATTATCGTAAAGCCTTTGATAGTGTTCCACATTCTTGGATCCTAAGACTTTGAAAATGTACAAAGTCTCCCTGTGGTATTAAATTTCCTAAAGCACAGCATGGGAATGTGGAACACCAAACTATACCTTAGTCACACCGGGGGCACTGCCATATCCAACCGTCTGAATATCCGACGTGGAATCTTTCAAGGAGACTCTCTGTCACCCCTTCTGTTTTGTTTATCCTTAATCCTCTTACACATGAACTGAAACAACAGTAGCTATGGTTACAAAATAAATAAGAAAATATTCAATCACCTACTTACATGGATGATCTCAAACTCTTTGCCAAAGACGACAATGAGTTGAAAGGCCTCCTCAATATTGTAAAATACTTCAGTGACGACATAGGTATGGACTTCGGATTAGATAAATGTGCAAAAGTAACTTTCAAGAAAGGTACAATTACAGAAACACCCTTAATAGATTTAGATTTTGTCACAAAGATTAGGGAACTGGAGCATGGTGAAGCTTATAAGTACCTAGGAATTAGCGAAAGGAGATGGCATACAACCCCCAAATGAAGGAAAAAAATAGAAAAGAATACTACAGGCGTGTACGTCTGGTACTAAATACTGAGCTGAACTCAAAAAAACAGGATATCAGCCATAAACACATTGGCTGTCCCTGTGGTGCAATACAGCTTTAATGTCCTTAACTGGACCATAGCTGAAATTAAGCGACTGGATGCCAAAACGAGAAAGCTACCACTTGCTATCGCATGCATCATCCCAAAGCTGATGTCGACCGTCTGTATGTGCCCAGATCCGAAGGAGGCAGAGGATTAGTTCAACTAGAACTGTCCTACAAAACTACAACAATTGGCCTCCAAAGATATTTGGAAACTACAGAAGACTGGATGATGGTGTGCGTCAAGGAACATGAAAGTAGTAAGCGTCTCTACTCCGTAATGAAGGAAGCCAACAAATTCAAAATGGAGTTCCAAATGGGCGTAGAGATGCAACTACAGCACAATACACCGGCTGAAACTGCAAAATACCTAAAAAAGATAGCTAAGACGAATGCAACAGACCAGTTAAAGAAGCGATGGCAAGATAAACCGCTTCATGGCCAATACTCTGCCCGTACCAAACAAGCTGACGTAGACAAAACCCGTACCCATCAGTGGCTACGTAGTGCAGGGTTGAAAGCGGAAACTGAAGGTTTTATCCTTGCTGCGCAGGACCAATGCTTGCTAACTAGGAATTATCAAGCACATATACTAAAATATTGTGTCAGTCCAAAATGCAGATTCTGTGATAAATATCCAGAAACGATTGATCATCTTGTAGCAGGTTGTACGGTGTTGGCACCCACTGAATATAAAACCCGACATGACAGAGTGGGCCAATATCTGCACTGGAAAATCTGCAACTTCTACGGGAAGAAAACTGAAAGAAACTGGTATGAACACCACCCAGACCCGGTTACGGAGATAGGGACCTGTTACAATTCTATGGGACTACACAATACACACTGACAGAACAATCAAGGCCAACCGCCCAGCTATTGTTATTAAAGACCATAAACAAAAAAACGGTGCCTCCTTATTGATATGGCAGTCCCTGCCGACTGCAATGTATCTTTGAAGATATTCAAAAAAAGTTGTCAAAGTACAAGGACCTTTGAAATAGAAATCGCGAAAATGTGGCATATGGGGAACATCAACAATCCCTGTTGTAGTTGGAGCCCTAGGACTGGTTGGAAAAGATTCCAGTAGACTAATTGAAGGGATACCTGGAAGTCCATGCCTCAAGGAGATACAGAAAATTGTTCTAACAAGTACAGCCCACACCTTACGAAGGGCTTTATCTATGTAATCTTTTTCTTTCTTTTTTTTTTTTTTTTTTTTTGTCAGTGGAAAGTGTCATGACGCCATTTCTAACCTTAGGTCCCACTATATCAATTTGCTGTCAGCGAGCGACACTGGGAGTGGTTGAAAACCATACCACAAGTCCACTGGGAGTGGTTGAAAACCATATCCAAGTCTTGTGAGTGAGCGGAACCAACAATGTTTAAGCTAGAACAAAGTCACAAGTCATCGTGACCGAGGAATTGAGTCAATTTAATACTGAATTGACCTACAACGATTTTAGCAGTTGGCATCACCTTTCCTCTCATATTTTTTTCTGTCCAACTTACACCAACATCAAAACGCTGCCAAATATGTAATTATTTTGTGGGAATATAGATCATAAAAGCTAGGAATTATTTCTACCAAAATTATCATGTGTTTACCATGACTATTTTTTTACAGTAAGGTTCACCCTGTACAATGCCTGGGAGCTACTTGGGGTATAGGGTAACGTTTGGGGTAGTTTATGAGGGGAAGATATCAGTTAGCAGTGAAGATTAGACCAGGCGGAACCAAGGAATGTAATTCGTCCGAGCACTTTCGATGGAAGTAGCAATAGAACCGTAAGAGACTCGCTCCATCACGCATTTGAGATAGAGGTTGGTTAGTGGGAAATAATTCTTCTCCAACACTTTGAAGCAATATCAAGACTGGAAAGTGAAGATTGCGTAACTCCCGCAAAAATATGGCAGCTGTACTCTATTTCCGGCCTGATCTGGCTCTATTTCCGGTCTGATCTGGCTCTATTTCCGGCCTGATCTGGCTATATTTCCGGCCTGATCTGGCTATATTTCCGGCATGATCTGGCTCTTTTTCCGGCCTGATCTCGCTCTTTTTCCGGCCTGATCTGGCTCTTTTTCCGGCCTGATCTGGCTCTATTTCCGGCCTGATCTGGCTCTATTTCCGGCCTGATCTGGCTCTATTTCCGGCCTGATCTCGCTCTTTTTCCGGCCTGATCTCGCTCTTTTTCCGGCCTGATCTGGCTCTATTTCCGGCCTGATCTCGCTCTTTTTCCGGCTTGTTCTCGCTCTTTTTCCGGCCTGATCTGGCTCTATTTCCGGCCTAATCTCGCTCTATTTTCGGCTTGATCTGGCTCTATTTCCGGCCTGATCTGGCTCTATTTCCGGCCTAATCTCGCTCTATTTTCGGCTTGATCTGGCTCTATTTCCGGCCTGATCTGGCTTCTTTTCCGGCCTGATCTCGCTCTATTTCCGGCCTGATCTCGCTCTTATAAAGGTAGAGGAAAGCATGAGGAGGCAGGTACTTACTGAGGCTGTAGAGGAGGCCGATCATTTTACCTTCAGATTTAGCGATAGATTATATATAAGAGTTCCACTTGAGATCAGGGGTGAGTTTGCGGCCCAATATTCTCTCAAGACATGTGGCCTCCCCTGAGGGAACATCCGTTTATCGTGACTGACGGTAGTTCGGGGTCTGATTGGCGGTGATACAATACAACTAGTTGGGTTTTCGAGGTATTGAATGTAACCATCCAGTTCCCCACCCCCCGCCACAGGTAAGTTAGTGCTTGATCGGAAGAGAGGTCAGCTGCCGATCTCTGATCGTCATGAGTTTTAGAGTTGAGCGCGTATATCGTCGTATCATAGGTATAAATGTTTACAAATGATCTGAGTATATTCTTAGGTAGATCATTTATGTAAATCAAAAAGTGAGTTGGTCGTTGTACATATCCAGACTCTGATTGCTTGCACATGTACAATGAAACAAATCATCGTCGAAGGTGTGTGTTGAGCTGAGCAATGAGAGAGGTCGTGGTAAATGGCGTCCTCAGACAATTTTGAGAGTAGGTGTCACCATGACCTCATGCTAGTTTAAAGAGGACATGACTTGAAATAGAATAGTCTGGACAAGCACAGTGGGACAGGCTACCAAAATGTGCAAAATTTGAAAGGAAAGATGACGATACACAAGATAATGAAGGAGCAGTGAGAGTGAGGTGAGGTACGGGGAGGAAGGGATGAGAAAGAGAGAGAGGGGCCTATGAGTGAGGGAAAAGTGTGTATGTGAGGGGGTGATTGAGGGGTAAAGAATAAGTGAGAGAGAGAGTGAAGGTTTGACTGAGTGTAGATTTAGTGAGTGAGTGAGTGAGAGGAGTCAGCGCGGGAAGGAAGAAGTGAAACAGTGAATGAAAGATTGAGGGAGGGAGGGAGGGAGGGAGGGAGTGAAGGAGTAAGTGCGAGAAAGAAAGCGTGAGAGAGAGAGTGAAGGATTGACTGAGTGTAGATTTAGTGAGTGAGTGAGTGAGAGGAGTCAGCGCAGGAAGGAAGGAGTGAAACAGTGAATGAAAGATTGAGGGAGGGAGGGAGGAGGGGAGGGAGGGGAGTGAAGGAGTAAGGAGAAAGAAAGGTGAGAGAGAGAGTGAAGGATTGACTGAGTGTAGATTTAGTGAGAGGAGTGAGAGGAGTCAAAGGGAAGGAAGGAGGAAACAGTGAATGAAAGATTGAGGGAGGGAGGGAGGGAGGGAGGGGAGGAAGGAGTAAGTGCGAGAAAGAAAGCGTGAGAGAGAGAGAGTGAAGGTTTGACTGAGTGTAGATTTAGGAGGAGGAGTGAGAGGAGTCAGGCAGGAAGGAAGGAGGAAACAGTGAATGAAAGATTGAGGGAGGGGAGGGAGGGATATAGGGAGGAAGGAGGCAAGTGAGAAAGAAAAGCGTGAGAGAGAGAGTGAAGGATTGACTGAGTGTAGATTTAGTGAGTGAGTGAGTGAGAGAGAGTAGCGCAGGAAGGAAGGAGGAAACAGTGAATGAAAGATTGAGGGAGGGAGGGAGGGAGGAGGGAGAAGGAGTAAGTGAGAAAGAAAAGGTGAGAGAGAGAGTGAAGGATTGACTGAGGTAGATTTAGTGAGTGAGTGAGTGAGAGGAGTCAGCGCAGGAAGGAAGGGAGGAAACAGTGAATGAAAGATTGAGGGAGGGAGGGGAGGGAGGAGGGAGGAGTTGGAGTAAGTGCGAGAAAGAAAGCGTGAGAGAGAGAGAGAAGGTTTGACTGAGTGTAGATTTAGTGGGAGGAGAGGAGTGAGAGGAGTCAGCGCAGGAAGGAAGGAGGAAACAGTGAATGAAAGATTGAGGGAGGGAGGGAGGGAGGGAGGGAAGGAGTAAGTGCGAGAAAGAAAGCGTGAGAGAGAGAGTGAAGGTTTGACTGAGGTAGATTTAGTGAGGAGGAGAGTGAGAGAGCTCAGCGCAGGAAGGAAGGAGTGAAACAGTGAATGAAAGATTGAGGGAGGGGGAGGGAGGGAGGGAGGAAGGAGTAAGAGAAAGAAAGCGTGAGAGAGAGAGTGAAGGATTGACTGAGTGTAGATTTAGTGAGAGGAGGAGTGAGTGAGAGGAGTCAAGGGAAGGAAGAAGTGAAACAGTGAATGAAAGATTGAGGGAGGGAGGGAGGGAGGAGGAGGAAGGAGGAAGAGCGGGAAGGAAAGCGTGAGAGAGAGAGAGAGAGTGAAAGAGTGACTGAGTGTATATTTAGTGAGTGAGGGGAGGAGTCAGCGCGGGAAGGAAGGAGTGAAAGAGTGAATGAAAGTTTGAGGGCGGGAGGAAGTGAAGGAGTAAGAGCGTGAAGGAAAGCGTGAGAGAGAGAGAGAGAGAGAGAGAGAGTGAAGGAAAGAATGAGGGAGAGTAAGTAAGTAAGGAGTGAGGAACTGAGAGAAGGAATGAGAGAGAGAGAGCGTGATGTGTTTGACTAATTGAATAGTGCGTGAGTGAGGGAGGGAGGGGGGATAAAGAATAAGTGAAAGAAAAGGAGACTGAAGGAGTAACTGAGTGTAGATTTAGTGAGTGAGTGAGTGAGTAGGAAAGGAAGAAATGAGTGAGAGAGACGGAATGAATTAGGGTGAGTTGGTGTGTGAGCGAGGGTGAATAATTAAAACTAAATGCTTTAATGTCATTTAATAACGATAGATATTATCAACTTAAATTCCCACAATATACATGAGAGTAAGACTTTGCTTTTTTTTTTTTTTTTTTTTTTTTTTTCAACCATTTCACCCCAAGCAAGGCAATGAAGCCACTTGGATGCAAGGGGTTACTGGGTGTTAGAGAATACGAGAAAAAACTATTATTAAAGAGAGAAGACGATTAAAGAGCAGAAATTCAAAAGACAAAAGATAACGATTGACATTGCATTACATTTTTGAAGATCAAAGTTGACTGGGAAGCAAGAAGCAAGAAGAAAGTTTCACAAGCGATAAGGGCTATAGAAGAAACTGTTAGCATAGAACTTACGGTTACATCTAGCTATTTCAACTATAAAACGTTTTGTGGTGTCAACGAACACTCATTGACACTTTTGTGATGTCAATGAATACTCATTGCCACTTTCGAAATGCTCGTTGTAGTAGAGACTTTGTAATCACAGATACAACTATAGTAACGCCGTTGAACAATATTAGTGTCAGACGCCTTCGAATAACACTCGCAATAATAGTACTTGCACGATAATACTCTCTCGAATAATAATCCGTATAGTGATCTGTATAGAGAAATAGTATAGTAAATAGAGTAGAGAATAGCGGTCCATATAGTAATAGAGGTTAAACTAGAAATAGTTTAGTAAATAGAGTAGAGAATAGCGGTCCGTATAGTAATAGAGGATAGAGAAAAAATATCGATCCGAATAGTAATAGAGGATAAACTAGAAATAGTATAGTAAATAGAGTAGAGAATAGCGGTCCATATAGTAATAGAGGATAGAGTAGAAATAGCGATCCGAATAGTAATAGAGGATAAACTAGAAATAGTATAGTAAATAGAGTAGAGAATAGCGGTCCATATAGTAATAGAGGATAGAGTAGAAATAGTGATCCGAAAAGTAATAGAGAATAAACTAGAAATAGTATAGTAAATAGAGTAGAGAATAGCGGTCCACATAGTAATAGAGGATAGAGTAGAAATAGTGATCCGAAAAGTAATAGAGGATAAACTAGAAATAGTATAGTAAATAGAGTAGAGAATAGCGGTCCATATAGTAATAGAGGATAGAGTAGAAATAGTGATCCGAATAGTAATAGAGGATAAACTAGAAATAGTATAGTAAATAGAGTAGAGAATAGCGGTCCATATAGTAATAGAGGATAGAGAAAATAGTGATCCGAAAAGTAATAGAGAATAAACTAGAAATAGTATAGTAAATAGAGTAGAGAATAGAGGCCCATATAGTAATAGAGGATAGAGTAGAAATAGCGATCCGAATAGTAAAAGAGGATAAACTAGAAATAGTATAGTAAATAGAGGAGAGAATAGCGGTCCATATAGTAATAGAGGATAGAGTAGAAATAGTGATCCGAATAGTAATAGAGGATAAACTAGAAATAGTATAGTAAATAGAGTAGAGAATAGCGGTCCATATAGTAATAGAGGATAGAGTAGAAATAGCGATCCAAATAGTAATAGAGGATAAACTAGAAATAGTATAGTAAATAGAGTAGAGAATAGCGGTCCATATAGTAATAGAGGATAGAGTAGAAATAGTGATCCGAATAGTAATAGAGGATAAACTAGAAATAGTATAGTAAATAGAGTAGAGAATAGCGGTCCATATAGTAATAGAGGATAGAGTAGAAATAGTGATCCGAATAGTAATAGAGAATAAACTAGAAATAGTATAGTAAATAGAGTAGAGAATAGCGGCCCATATAGTAATAGAGGATAGAGTAGAAATAGCTTATCCAAATAGTAAAAAGAGGATAAACTAGAAATAGTATAGTAAATAGAGGAGAGAATAGCGGTCCATATAGTAATAGAGGATAGAGTAGAAATAGTGATCCGAATAGTAATAGAGGATAAACTAGAAATAGTATAGTAAATAGAGTAGAGAATAGAGGCCCATATAGTAATAGAGAATAGAGTAGAAATAGCGATCCAAATAGTAATAGAGGATAAACTAGAAATAGTATAGTAAATAGAGTAGAGAATAGCGGCCCATATAGTAATAGAGGATAGAGTAGAAATAGTGATCCGAATAGTAATAGAGGATAAACTAGAAATAGTATAGTAAATAGAGTAGAGAATAGCGGTCCATATAGTAATAGAGGATAGAGTAGAAATAGCGATCCAAATAGTAATAGAGGATAAACTAGAAATAGTATAGTAAATAGAGTAGAGAATAGCGGTCCATATAGTAATAGAGGATAGAGTAGAAATAGTGATCCGAATAGTAATAGAGGATAAACTAGAAATAGTATAGTAAATAGAGTAGAGAATAGCGGTCCATATAGTAATAGAGGATAGAGTAGAAATAGTGATCCGAATAGTAATAGAGGATAAACTAGAAATAGTATAGTAAATAGAGTAGAGAATAGAGGCCCATATAGTAATAGAGGATAAACTAGAAATAGCGATCCAAATAGTAATAGAGGATAAACTAGAAATAGTATAGTAAATAGAGTAGAGAATAGCGGCCCATATAGTAATAGAGGATAGAGTAGAAATAGTGATCCGAATAGTAATAGAGGATAAACTAGAAATAGTATAGTAAATAGAGTAGAGAATAGCGGTCCATATAGTAATAGAGGATAGAGTAAAATAGCGATCCAAATAGAAATAGAGGATAAAACTAGAAATAGTATAGTAAATAGAGTAGAGAATAGCGGTCCATATAGTAATAGAGGATAGAGTAGAAATAGTGATCCGAATAGTAATAGAGGATAAACTAGAAATAGTATAGTAAATAGAGTAGAGAATAGCGGTCCATATAGTAATAGAGGATAGAGTAGAAATAGTGATCCGAATAGTAATAGAGGATAAACTAGAAATAGTATAGTAAATAGAGTAGAGAATAGCGGTCCATATAGTAATAGAGGATAGACAAGAAATAGCAATCCGAATAGTAATAGAGGATAAACTAGAAATAGTATAGTAAATAGAGTAGAGAATAGCGGTCCATATAGTAATAGAGGATAGAGTAGAAATAGTGATCCGAATATTAATAGAGGATCAACTAGAAATAGTATAGTAAATAGAGTAGAGAATAGCGGTCCATATAGTAATAGGGGATAGAGTAGAAATAGTGATCCGAATAGTAATAGAGGATAAACTAGAAATAGTATAGTAAATAGAGTAGAGAATAGCGGTCCATATAGTAATAGAGGATAGAGTAGAAATAGCGATCCGAATAGTAATAGAGGATAAACTAGAAATAGTGTAGTAAATAGAGTAGAGAATAGCGGTCCATATAGTAATAGAGGATAGAATAGAAATAGCCATCCGAATATTAATAGAGGATAAACTAGAAATAGTATAGTAAATAGAGTAGAGAATAGTGGTCCATATAGTAATAGGGGATAGAGTAGAAATAGAGATCCGAATAGTAATAGAGGATAAACTAGAAATAGTATAGTAAATAGAGTAGAGAATAGCGGTCCATATAGTAATAGAGGATAGAGTAGAAATAGTGATCCGAATAGTAATAGAGGATAAACTAGAAATAGTATAGTAAATAGAGTAGAGAATAGCGGTCCATATAGTAATAGGGGATAGAGTAGAAATAGCGATCCGAATAGTAATAGAGGATAAACTAGAAATAGTATATTACATAGAGTAGAGAATAGCGGTCCATATAGTAATAGAGGATAGAGTAGAAATAGTGATCCGAATAGTAATAGAGGGTAAACTAGAAATAGTATAGTAAATAGAGTAGAGAATAGCGGTCAATATAGTAATAGAGGATAGAGTAGAAATAGTGATCCGAATAGTAATAGAGGATAAACTAGAAATAGTATAGTAAATAGAGTAGAGAATAGCGGTCCATATAGTAATAGAGGATAGAGTAGAAATAATGATCCGAATAGTAATAGATGATAAACTAGAAATAGTATAGTAAATAGAGTAGAGAATAGCGGTCCATATAGTAATAGAGGATAGAGTAGAAATAGTGATCCGAATAGTAATAGAGGATAAACTAGAAATAGTATAGTAAATAGAGTAGAGAATAGCGGTCCATATAGTAATAGAGGATAGAGAAGAAATAGCAATCCGAATAGTAATAGAGGATAAACTAGAAATAGTATAGTAAATAGAGTAGAGAATAGCGGTCCATATAGTAATAGAGGATAGAGTAGAAATAGTGATCCCAATAGTAATAGAGGATACACTAGAAATAGTATAGTAAATAGAGTAGAGAATAGCGGTCCATATAGTAATAGAGGATAGAGTAGAAATAGTGATCCGAATAGTAATAGAGGATAAACTAGAAATAGTATAGTAAATAGAGTAGAGAATAGCGGTCCATATAGTAATAGAGGATAGAGTAGAAATAGTGATCCGAATAGTAATAGAGGATAAACTAGAAATAGTATAGTAAATAGAGTAGAGAATAGCGGTCCATATAGTAATAGAGGATAGAGTAGAAATAGTGATCCGAATAGTAATAGAGGATAAACTAGAAATAGTATAGTAAATAGAGTAGAGAATAGCGGCCCATATAGTAATAGAGGATAGAGTAGAAATAGCGATCCAAATAGTAATAGAGGATAAACTAGAAATAGTATAGTAAATAGAGTAGAGAATAGCGGCCCATATAGTAATAGAGAATAGAGTAGAAATAGTGATCCGAATAGTAATAGAGGATAAACTAGAAATAGTATAGTAAATAGAGTAGAGAATAGCGGTCCATATAGTAATAGAGGATAGAGTAAAATAGGATCCAAATAGTAATAGAGGATAAACTAGAAATAGTATAGTAAA